CCCGCCCCCACCCCACCCCCCCCGCTGCCGCTGCCGCTGCTGCTGCTGCTGCTGCTGCTGCTGCTGCTGCTGCTGCTGCTGCTGCTGCAGTTCTGCGGCCGCGGAGCGAAGACCAGTACGTGGACTCGCACCTCTTTGGGGAAGGCAGCAGCGGCCGCTGGTTCCTCCGCCTTTACCCCTGGGGAGATCAGCGGAACAGCGGCTCTTTGGAGTTGTATTTGATGTTGGAGAGCAGTTTGCCGGAGGACTTGCTGGTGCACTACAAGCTGCAGGTGGTGCGGCCGCCGCAGCAGCAGCAGCAGCAGCAGCAGCAGCAGCAGCAGCAGCAGCGGCGGCGCCGCCAGCGCCAGCAGCAGCAAGCGCACGCCCACGAGGCAGCAGCTCACGCAGAAGAACCGCGCGCCGCTGCTGCCGAACTCGACATGCAGCCCGCCAGGCAGGACAGCAGCAGCAGCAGCAGCAGCAGCAGCAGCAGCAGCAGCAGCAGCAGCAGCAGCAGCGGCGCGGCAACGCCAAGCTTGCAAAGCTCCTTCTTGGCGCCCTCTCCTTTTCCTCTGGGGATGACGAACCTGCAGCAGCAGCTGCAGCAGCAGCAGCAGCAGCAGCTGCAGCTGCAGCCGTTTGGGCTGGCCAGGCCCTCGTCTTGCGGCCCGCTCTCGGGGGCCCCTGCTGCCGGCCCAGCAGCAGCAGCAGCAGCAGCAGCAGCAGCAGCAGCAGGAACTGCAGGCAGCGTCGCAAGCCAAGTTGCAGCATTTATTCTCTCTTCTCCCCCAGACCTTCTTATTCGTTTTGGCAAGCAGCAATTTGCTGCCAACAAGATCGCTCTGGCCGCGTGCTCCAAGGTTAGAGGGTTTAGGGTTTAGGGTTTAGGGTTTAGGGTTTAGGGTTTAGGGTTTAGGGTTTAGGGTTTGGGGTTTAAGGTCCACATTCGGGCTAAGGGTTCAGCTCTTCTCGCTTTAGATTTTAGCCTGCTAGCCAGCTAGCCAGCTAGCTAGCCAGCTGGCCAGACCAGCCAGCTGCTAGCTAGCTAGCTAGCTAGCCAGCCAGGCAGCTAGCTAGCTAGCTAGCTAGCTAGCTGTCCGGTAGCCTAGCTAGCTAGCTAGTCAGCTAACTTGAGAGCAATTGTCCTAAAGCGCTTGCTGCAAGCTGAGCACCTAGCCAGCTAGCCAGCTAGCTAGCCAGCTGGCCAGACCAGCCAGCTGCTAGCTAGCTAGCTAGCTAGCCAGCCAGGCAGCTAGCTAGCTAGCTAGCTAGCTAGCTGTCCGGTAGCCTAGCTAGCTAGCTAGTCAGCTAACTTGAGAGCAATTGTCCTAAAGCGCTTGCTGCAAGCTGAGCAGCAGCAGCATCTGCTGCTGCTGCATCGGCTGCTGTTGCTGCGGCTGCGGCAGACAACCTGCTGCTGCTGCTGCACCTGCTGCTGCTGCTGCATCTGCTGCTGCTGCTGCTGCACCTGCTGCTGCTGCTGCGTCTGCTGCTGCGTTTAGGTTTTCCGGGCGATGCTAACTGGGAAGTTCAAAGAAGGCTCTTCTTTGGCTTCGCCCAAGGCCCTCGAGCAGCAGCAGCAGCAGCAGCAGCAGCAGCAGCAGCAGCAAGTGCTGGAGCTTCCTTTGACGGGGATCTCGGAAACTGCTCTGCTGAATTTGCTGCAATGCATCCACACGGACACGTGAGGCACATGAAGGCTTGCGCTGCTGCTGCTGCTGCTGCTGCTGCTGCTGCTGCTGCTGCTGCTGCTGCTGCTGCTGCTGCTGCTGCTGCTGCTGCTGTTTGCAATTTAGCTTTCGCCGTGTTGCATTCTTCTAGCTGCGAGACCTCCAGCTAACCTAGCTAGCTGGCTGCCTGGCTAGCTAGCTGGCTAGCTAGCTGGCTAGCTAGCTGTCTAGCTAGCTAGCTGTTTAGCTAGCTAGCCGTTTGGCTTACTAGCTAGCTAGCTAGAAAGATGGATGATATTTATTTTTTTGCTGAGGGCCCCCCACAGATCATCCCATGCAGCTGCTGCTGCTGCTGCTGCTGTACTCACGCAATTTCTCATTGGCTGCTGCTGCTGCTGCTGCTGCTGCTGCTGCTGCTGCTGCAGAGCGTGTACTGGCGCTGCGTAGAGACTGCCCGGCGTCTTCTTACAAAAGCAAATTTCACAGCAGCAATTTTGACTGCCCAGCGCATCAGCTGCTCCCCCCTCATGCAGTCTGGTCAGTGAAGCTAGGGTTTAGGGTTTAGGGTTTAGGGTTTAGGGTTTAGGGTTTAGGGTTTAGGGTTTGGGGTTTGGAGTAAGCTCGAAAAGAGCATTATCTCGACTGATAGCGAGCCTGGCTGAGGGCTTTGCAGCTGAAGTTCAGGGCCTAGGGTTTAGGGTTTAGGGTTTAGGGTTTAGGGTTTAGGGTTTAGGGTTTAGGGTTTAGGGTTTAGTACCACTGCGAGAATAGTGACTGCGAAGGCCTCCAGGTGGCGCTTCACGAGGGGCAGTTTGGAAGACAGCGCTTTTGCAGTCAAAGAGTTTGCCAACAGCTTGCCGGGGGCTGTTGTCGCCCAGCGGATGCTGCGCGCCTTTGAGACAGTGGAGTCTAGGAAGAGGCCGCAGCCGCAGCAGCAGCAGCAGCAGCAGCAGCAGCAGCAGCAGCATAAGCAGAAGAGGCAGCAGGTGACCCCGATCGGAGAAATGCAACAGCAGCAGCAGCAGCAGCAACAGCAGCAGCAGCAGCAGCAGCAGCAGCCGCTCGTGCTGCACCAACTGGAGGAGGAAGACCTTGAGGCGCCTGCGGCTCGTATTTTTCCTTTGGAAACTGCAGCAACAGATGCAGCAGCAGCTGCAGCAGCAGCAGCAGCAGCAGCAGCAGCAGCAGCAGCACCAACCCCGCCGCTGTCACCTGCCGAGGCATCAGACTCTTCCCTATCTGACTCAGAGCTCTGTCTGCCCGAGTCTGTGGTTGCTGCAGCAGAACCAGCAGCAGCTGCTGCAACAGAGCCAGCAGCAGCAGCAGCAGCAGGAGAACCAGCAGCAGCAGCAGCTGCAGTGGGAGGCGCAGCAGCAACAGAGTCACCGGCCGCAGAGGCAGCTGCAGCGCCAACTGCAGCAGCAGCATTTCCTGCAGCAACAGCAGCAGCAACAGCAGCAGCAGCAACCGCAGCTCAAGATCTGCAGCTTAGCGCTATACAAGACTACGAAGCGCCTGCAGCAGCAGCTGCTGCTGCTGCAACAGCAGCAGCAGCAGCAGCGGCAACGCCAGCAGTAGCAACACCTCTACAAAAATGTGTAGAGGCCTCAGGAAACGAACTAGAAAGCAGCCAGAGCAGTTCTGCTGCTGCTGGGGCTGCTGCTGCTGCTGCTGCTGCTGCAGGTGCTGCAGCAGCTGCTGCTGCTGGTGATGCTGCTACTTCTGCTGCCGGCAGCAACAGCAGCAGCTCCCGCAGAGACTGCCAATGCAGCGAAAAGCTTGCTGCGGCTTGTGAGGCAGGCAGTCCCTGCAGCACGAGCAGCAGCAGCAGCAGCAGCAGCAGCAGCAGCGGGGATAGCCGCGGGAGCAGCAGCAGCCGCAGCAGCAGCAGCGGCAACAGCCCCTGCAGCAAAATCACTTTGACAGCACTGCTGCACAAACCCCGCAGCTACTGGCGAGACGCTGAGGGTTTAACTCCTCTAAGAAGAAAGATATCAGCAGACCCTCACCGGCAGCAGCAGCAGCAGCAGCAGCAGCAGCAGCAGCAGCAGCAGCAGACGTTGCTGCTGCTGGGAGCGCAGCAGCAGCAGCTGCTTCCACTGCAAGAAACTCAACAGCAGGCGGCGGCGCAGGAACAGCACCCGAAGCAGCCAGTGCAGCAGCCTGGACTACAAGAGCAGCAGCAGCAGCAGCAGCAGCAGCAGCAAGCGCAGCAGCAGCAGCAGCAACACGAAACGCAGGCAGCACGCTCTGCTCCGCTGTCAGTTGCTGCTGCTGCTGCTGCTGCTTCTCCAGAAGCTGCCGCTCCACAGGGTGTGCTGCGCGGAGATTGACAGCAGCAGCAGCAGCAGCAGCAGCAACTGCAGCAGCAGCGCCTGCAGCAGCAGCAGCAGCTTCCGCTGCAGATGCAGCATCTTCAGCAAGTCTGGGGCAGCTGCAGCGGGAATATCTAGTTCTTGTTGACCCACTTCGCAAAACCCCAAACCCTAAACCCTAAACCCTAAACCCTAAAACCTAATGTGCAGCAGAGGGACTTAATCTTCACGCGCGCCCTTTCCTGTGCTGCTGCAATCTCGACACAACAAACCTCAGCTTCGGGGCTTTTAGGATACAGCCCCAGCTATTCTTTAGCAGCAGCATATGCCACTCACTGAAACAGCAGCAGCAGCAGCAGCAGCAGCAGCAGCAGCTGCTGCTGCTGCTGCAACTGCTGCTGCAGCAGCTGCTGCTGCTGCAGCACTGTATTGAAAACCTCACTGGTTTGTTTGGCTGCTTAGGGTTTGCCTGTTACGAGCTGATCTGGACTGGCGTTCTGCAGCCAAACCCTAAACCCTAATGCCGACCCGAAACCCTAAACCCTAAACCCTAATGCCGGCCCCAAACCCTAAACCCTAATGCCGACCCCAAACCCTAAACCCTAGACACTAAACCCTCGACTAGAAGCAGCAAGGAGTTTCGCGAGGGTTTGCTGCTGCAGCTGCAGCGCCTTACTTTCCTTTTCTAAACCCTAATCAGCGAAAGGGCAAAGTCCAAAACCCTCGTAAACCCTAAACCCTCGTGCAGGAGCGGAGGCGACAGGGGCGCGAGGGTTTAGGGTTTAGGGTTTAGGGTTTAGGAATTAGGGCTCAGCGAGGAACCTGTAGTCAAAATCCAACAGAAAATATTACTTTTGAGTGCCACTCTTTTTCCATCGAGGGTTTAGGGTTTAGGGTTTAGGGTTTAGGGTTTGTCCTGGGGGCCCCAGGAGGCCCCAGTGTCTCCAAGGGGACGCCGGCGTCAGTGGCTCTTTCTGCCTTTGCATTCAATGCCATGCTTTAACCCTAAACCCTAAACCCTAAACCCTAAACCCTAAACCCTAATCTCTAAACCCTAAACCCTAGCTCCAAAATGACGGAGGTGGTTCCGTACACTGACCGAATCAACTTCAACGTCCTTAACTACCCACCAATCTCCCAAGTAAACCCTCAGCCTTAAACCCCAAACCCTAAACCCTAAACCCTAAACCCTAAACCCTAAACCCTGAACCTCATTTGATTTCACAGAGTGCTAAACCCTAAACGGCTCGTCGATACTGCGGCGCCCGCTGGAGCGGCGCAGGCCGGAAGCTGCTGCTGCTGCAAACTTTAGGGTTTAGGGTTTAGGGTTTAGGGTTTAGGGTTTAGGGTTTAGGGTTTCTGCTGCAGGTCACGGAGGCTTTCCCTCAAGAAGGGCAGCCCGAAAGGAAAGTGGCGATTTGCCGCTGCTGGCAGTCGAAGAAGTTTCCCTACTGCGACGGGGCCCACAAGGTTAGGGTTTAGGGTTTAGGGTTTAGGGTTTAGGGTTTAGGGTTTAGGGTTTAGGGTTTGATGGCTGAGGGCCGAAGATTGGGGTCTCGGGCTCAGAGGCATTAGGGTTTAGGGTTTAGGGTTTGAGGCGTAGCGGTAAGGTCATGGTTTAGGGTTTAGGGTCTAGGGGTTGGGATTTAGGGCCAAGGAGTTGAGGCTCAGGGTTTAGGGTTTAGGGTTTAGAGTTTGGGGTTTGGCATGCAGGGTTTAGGGTTTAGGGTTTAGGGTTTAGGGTTAGAGTGTTTATTGCAGCCAGCGGCTCTCAGACACTGAGGGTTTCAAGACTCCAGAACTATGCCTCATCCAGCAAGATCGAGGGCATAGGGTTTAGGGTTTAGGGTTTAGGGTTTAGGGTTTAGGGTTTAGGGTTTAGGGTTTAGGGTTTAGGGTTTGTGTGGTTGCTGCAGGCCATGATGCAAAACGGAGACAACGTGGGGCCCTATGTTGCAGTCTTGCGCACCAGAGCCCACATGCAGGATTTGAAGGTGCTGCTGCTGCTGCTGCTGCTGCTGCTGCTTCTGCTGCTGCTGCTGCTGCTGCTGTTGCTGCTGCTGCTATTGCAGCAGGCTGCTGTTTCTCTTGCTGCTGTTGCCGCTGCTGCTGCAGTCGCAGTTGCTGCTGCTGCGCGCCTTATACCTGCTGTAGCGTCAGCTGCTGCTCCTTCCATATCTGCTGCTGCTGTTGCTGCTGCTGCTGCTGCTGCTGCTGCTGCTCGCTGCTGTTATCTAATCCTGCTGCTTCGTGTTCGTTGCACTTCTAAACCCTAAACCCTAAACCCTAAACCCTAAACCCTACAGTAATTTCTTGCTGCTGAAGCCGCAGTGGTCACTTTTCCTCCGCAGGGTCTATTCACCAGGCTTGAGGGTTTAGGGTTTAGGGTTTAGGGTTTGGCGTCTCCGTTTGTTTGTGCTTCCTCACTTCAGAAGAATGCGCAGCAGCAGCAGCAGCAGCAGCAGCAGCAGCAGAAGACACGAGCAGCATTTCGTGTGGCCTCGCGGATAGCAAAAGGCTCTGCAGTAATTGCCGGTGAACTTCGCAGCCTGCTGCTGTTGCTGCTGCTGCTGCTGCTGCTGCTGCTGCTCTTCTTGTGGCTGCTGCTGCTGCTGCTGCTCGCGGCTGCTGCTGCTGCTGCTCTTCTTGTGGCTGTTGCTGCTGCTGCTGCTGCTGCTGCTGCTACAGTATCTCGACGAACTGCCAGCCGCTCTCCCCCCCGCGCCTGCAGCCGCCTACGCATCATCGCCATTTGCTGCTGCTGCTGCTGCTGCTGCTGCTGCTGCTGCTGCTGCTGCTGCTGCTGCTGCAGGCGTTGCAACTGGGGCTTTGGGGGGCTACCTGGCAGCAGATTTGCTGCAAAGGACTTTCCGCAAAAAGGCGCAGCAGCTCAGCAGCTCCACCAGCCAGCTGCTGCCAGACTTCAAGCCAGCAGCTGCCTAGCTAGCTAGCTAGCCAGCTAGCCAGTTAGCTAGCTAGCTAGCTAGCTGGCGAACTAGCTAGCTAGCCAGCTAGCCAGCTAGCTAGCTAGCTGGCGAGCTAGCTAGCTAGCTAGCTAGCTAGCTAGCTAACTGGCTAGCCGGCTAGCTAGCTAGCTGGCCAGCTAGGCCGCTAGCCAGCCAGCTAGCTGGCTGGCTAGCTAATTAGGAAGGTGCGTAGCTAGCTGGCTACTCGGCTAGCTAGCTGGCTAAATGGCTAGCTAGCTAGCTGGACCGCTAGCTAGCTAGCTAGAGGGCTAGCTAGCCGCTATATGGCTAGCTAGCTAGCTAGAGGACTAGCTAGCCGCACATATTTCAGAAGACAGCGGCTAGCTAGCTGTAGCACTGGGGAGGCTCATGAGGATTTGAAGCCCGTGAGCTGCAAGTCCCCGAGCTGCTGCTGCTGCTGCTGCTGCTGCAGCAGCAGCTGCAGCAACAGGCGCTGCAGCAGCAACAGCGGGAATAGCAGCAACAGCAACAGCAGCCACTGCAGCATCAGCAGCAGGAGCTGTTGCAGCAGCAGCACCAGGACCTGCAGCAACAGCAGCAGCACCAGGACCTGCTGCAGCAGCAGCAGCAGAAATAGTTGTAGCAGCAGCAGCAGCAACTGCTGCTGCTGCTGCTTCCGGGCTGAAGCAGCAATTTGAAATTCTTTTTTAACGACGCTGGCCCAGCAAAGGGACAAAAGAAATAAAAAGAAATAAAAGAAATAAAAGAAATAAAAAAGAAATAAAAAGAAATTAAAAAAGAAATTAAAAATAAATTAAAAAAGAATAAAAAAAAGGAATAAAAGAGATGAAGAAAACTGAAAAGCGAAAGAGCTAAAAACAGCAGAGGCCCCGCAGCAGCAGCAGCAGCTGCTGCTGCTGCTGCTGCTGCTGTTGCTGCTGCTGCTAAAGACGCTGGCTACAGCAGCAGCAACTGCCACAGCAGCAGCGAAGTCTAGATTCCCTGCGGCTAGCTAGCTAGCTAGCTAGCTAGCTAGCGAGCTGATTGGAGCAGCAAATTCTTTGTTGGCTAGCTGTCTAGCTAGCTAGCTATCCAGGCACTTAGTTAGCTAGCTAGATGGCTGGTTAGCTACCGCAACAGCTAGCTAGCTAGCTGGCTTGGCTAGCTAGCTAGCTAGCTGTTGCAGTAGCTACAACAACAACCAGCTAGCTAGCTAGCTAGCCAGCCACAGGGGCCTGCAGCTGGCCCAGCAATTGGCTAGCTAAGGGTCCAGTCGGCTTCCTGACAAGTCCGTGGCTAGCTAGCTGGCTAGCTCCTTAGTTGGTTAATTCGTTGGCTAGCTAGCCAGCTAGCTGATCGGCAACAGCTAGCTAGCCAGCCAGCTAGCTAGCTCACTAGCTATCCGGCCAGCTAGCCAGCTAGCCAGCTCCTGCTCCTAGCTAGCTGGCCACTGAGCTCAGCTCGCTATGTATCCAGCGCCTGCGCCTGGCTAGCTAGCTAGCTAGCTAGCTGGCTAGCTAGCTGGCTAGCTAGCTAGCTGGCTAAGCTAGCTAGCTGGTTGGCTAGCTAGCTAGCTAACAGGTGCAGAGGATCTATTTTGTCTTTGCTTTATGTCCCTCGGTTATTCTTTTGCTGTTTTTCGTCTTTTTGTCCTTTTCTATTTTCTCGTTATTTCGCAGCGAGAAAGGCAAAACAGAAGGGGCTTTGTGAGGGTTTAGGGTTTAGGGTTTAGGGTTTAGGGTTTAGGGTTTAGGGCTTGGGGTTTAGGGTATAGGGTTTTGCGGTGGAAGCGCTTCTGCTTGGGATCGAGGGCTGGGCGTTTTAGCGCTCGCAAGCTATAGTTAGGGTTTAGGGTTTAGGGTTTAGGGTTTAGGGTTTAGCAAGGAGGCGGCGCGAAATGTTGGGCGTCACACGGGGGTGCTCTTGAGTTTTGGAATTAGGGTTTAGGGTTTAGGGTTTAGCTGCCACACATTGGAATTCACTTTTACATTTTTCAGTAAATAATTGCAAAAAAAACATTGCAAGGTAGCGGCACGAACTTGCTGCTGCTGCTGCCGCTGCCGCCTCTGCTGCTGCTGCTGCTGCTGCTGCTGCTGCTGCTGCTGCTGCCGTCGGCAGCGCCGCCGCAGCAGCAGCAACGCAGCAGCAGCTGGGCGTTAAAGGCGCTAAACCCTCAGCGCCAAACCCTAAACTTTAAATTGGAGGAAAGAAGGTACTGCAGTTTGAACCTGACTGGGGTTGCTGCTGCAGCAGTGCAGCAGCAGCAGCAGCAGCAGCAGCAGCAGCAGCAGCAGCAACAGCCCCAACTCTATCGACGGAGAACACCCCCCTTGGGCTCTAATGTCTCCTGCAGTTCTCCAGCAACACTGACCGCCTCTGCTGCCGCAGCAACAGCAGCAGCACGAGAGACAGGCTGCTGCTGCGACCGCTCGTGGCAGCAGCAGCAGCAGCAGCAGCAGCAGCAGCAGGGAGGTGTCTATACACACCACGGCTACAGACATACCGGAGGCCTCACTCCTCCCTATTACAGCTGACTTAGACGCGCAGCAAAGCGTCAAGAGGCAGCAGCAGCAGCAGCAGCAGCAGCAGCAGCTGCTGCAGCTAGTGCCGCAGCAGCAGGGAACAGCGCAGCCGGCGCAGCGTCAGCTGCAGCAGCTGCAGCAGCTGCAGCAGCCGCAGCGCGAGCTGCTGTCGCGACAGCAGCACTACCAGCAGCTGCTGCAGCCGCGGTCGTAACAGCAGCAGCAGCAGCAGCAGCAGCAGCAGCAGCAGCAGCACGATGCAGTACCCTCTGCAGCAGCTGCAGCAGCCGCCGTACCAGTTCGGGCCCTCTCCTGATGCTGCTGATGCTGCAGCATCAATGGGCATGGGGGCCCCTGGCGTGGGGGGCCCCCCCAGCACACTGGACTATCAGCAGCAGCAGCAGCAGCAGCAGCAGCAGCAGCAGCCGCAGCAGCAGCAGCTGGCGCTCCCCTTCGACTCCAGCTTCATTTCTGCGGGGGCCCCCCTAGGGGCCCCCCTTTCTGCGGACCCTTTTGGGTCTTCGTACCCTGCAGCAGCCCCTGAGGGGGCCCCCCCCATGGGGCCCCCTTCCGTTATAGGGGGGCCCCCAATGGGGGCCCCCTCGATGGGGGCCCCCCCCATGGGGGCCCCCCCCATGGGGGCCCCCCTGGGGGGCCCCCTGGGGGCCCCAGACATGCCCTCAGCTGCTGCTGCTCCTCCCGTTTTGTCGGATGCTGAAGTCCAGCTTTATGGGCAGCTTTGGCAGGAGGCCCTGGGTACAGGAGACCCGCTGGGGGGCCCCCTGGGGGGCCCCCTGGGGGGCCCCCAAGAGGAATACCTGGACGGCGCTGCTGCTGCTGCTTTCCTAGAGCGCAGCGGCTTGCCCCAGGAGACGCTGCATGCAATTTGGGGCTTGGCAGACACAGCCAACGAGGGCAGGTCCGTGCTGCTGCTGCTGCTGCTGCTGCTGCTGCTGCTGCTGCTGCTGCTGCTGCTGCTGCTGCGGGTGGAAGCAGCAGGCGCGCGGCTGCTGCGGCTGTTTGCTGCTGCCGCGGGCGGCGCCTGCTGCACCGGGAAAACAGCAGCTGCAGATCCCGAATTTCGGCAAATAACAAACAAATAAATAATAAATAAATAAATAAATAAATAAATTATTTATTTATTTATTTATTTATTTATTTATTTATTTATTATTTATCTGCAGGCTGGACGCCGTCGCCTTTGCCAGGGCCTGCCGCCTCGTCGCCTACGCGCAGCAAAACCTCCCTATACACCAGGCCTGCGCGCCTGGTGAGTGCTGCTGCTGCTGCTGCTGCTGCTGCTGCTGCTGCTGCTGTTGTGGCTCCTGCTGCTGCTGCTGCTGCTGCTGAGGCTGCTGCTGTGGCTGCTGCTGCGGTGGCTGCTGCTGCTAATGGCTTTGCGCAAGGCCCTGCTGCTTTTTTCCGTGCTGCTGCTGCAGCTGCTGAGGTTAAAGCGCTGCTTTGGGCAGCAAGCTGCTCTTGCTGCTGCTGCTGCTGCTGCTGCTCCTTTTGCTGCTCATGCTTGAGTTCTTGCTGCTGCTGCTGTCGCTGCCCTTGCTGCGCCCTGCGCCAACCAAAGGCTTACCCTGATGAGTTTGAGTGTCCCTGTTCTTGCTGCTGCTGCTGCTGATACTGCTGCTGCTGCTAATACTGCTGCTGCTGCTGATACTGCTGCTGCTGCTGCTGCTGCTGCTGCTGCAGACGCTGCACCTCCACCTGCGCTGCCAAACTTCAGCGTCGCCTCTTCCTGGAGGTCTGGCGGCCCTCCCAGCCGTAAGATTACCTTAGCAGCAGCAGCAGCAGCAGCAGCAGCAGCAGCAATAGCAGCAGCAGCAGCACCAGCAACTGGGAAAGCAATGCCAGCTGCAGCAGCGGCAATGGCAACAGCAGGAGAAGCAGTAGCAACAACAACAGCAGCAGCAGCAGAAGCAGTTGCAAGAGCACTAGCAGCAGCAATAAGAACGACAGTATTGTTCAGAAGCAGCAGCAGCAGCAGCAACAATAGCAGCAGGAATGGCTGCAGTAGCAATAGCAGCAACAGCAGCAATAGCAGGAGCAGCAGGACCAGCAGCAATCGAAGCAGCAGTATCAGTAGCAGTCGCAGCAGCAACAAAATTGGCCAACTGTGGCAGCAACAGCAGCAACAACGCGGGCAGCAGCAGCAGCAACAGCAGCAGCAGCAGGGTCTGTTTGTGTCCGCAAAAGGAGCAGCAGAAGAAGCTGCAGCAGCAGCAGGCGCTGCAGCAGCAGCAGCGCGAGGCGCAGAAGCATGGCGTGCGCACTGTGTGTGTGCGCAGCGTTTGTCTCGAGCTCGTCGACTGCTGCTGCTGCTGCTGCTGCTGCTGCTGCTGCTGCTGCTGCAGTGTCCTACGCTCCCAGCGCCGAAGAGCTGCAGCAATACTTGGCCCTTTTTGCTGCTAATGACCCCCAGGGGGGGGCCGGGCTGCTGGGGGGCACAGAGCTGCGGCCGCTGCTTGCTGCTTCGGGGCTTCCTGCTGCTGATCTTGCTGCAGCATGGGCAGCAGCAGATGCTGACGGCGACGGCTGCCTCTCTTGCTTCGAGTTTGCTGCAGCAATGTCTTTAGCAGCAAAACGCAGACAGGGGGCCCCCATTCCTTTGCTGCTGCCGCCGGAGCTGCAGCCTCAAGCGCTGCAGCAGCAGCACAGGAGGCTGCAGCAGCAGCAGCAGCAACAGCAGCAGCAGCAAGTGCAGCAGCAGCAGCAGCAGCAGGCGCAGCCGGATTGGGGCGCAGGGTTTGACGCCTTCGGAGATACCACGGATGCCAGCGGAGGGCCTGCAGCAGCAGCAGAAGCAGCAGCAGCAGCAGAAGCAGCAGCAGCAGCAGAAGATAGCCCCGAAGCAAACAAAGACAGCAGCAAACGGAAGCCCCGCAGCACGTCTCCCCGCAGCAGCAGCAGCAAATCCAAAAGCAAGGCCAGGGCCCACAGCAGCAGCGACGACGAGGCAGCAGCAGAGGGCCAGCGGGGCGCTCGCAGCAGCAGCAGCAAACGGAAGGAGCAGCGGAAGCAGCAGCGGCAGCAGCAGCAGGAGGCGCAGCAGCAGCAGCAGCAGCAGCAGGATGAAGAAGACGCGGAACTCAACGCGTCCTGGGGCAGAGACAAAGACTGGGAGTCCTCTGGCGACGAATTTGGAGAGCAGCAGCAGCAGCAGCAGCAGCAGCAGCAGCAGCAGCAGCTGCTGCAGCAGCAGCTCGAGCAGCACCTCGGCCAGCAGCAGCTAAGGTCCCGCAGCTACGAATACCCAGACGAAGATGACCAGTTCTCTCTAGACATATCCACCCCACTGCAGCAGCAGCAGCGGCGCCGCAAGCAGCAGCAGCAGCAGCAGCAGCAGCAGCAGCAGCAGCAAGGCAGGAATGGCCTGCATGAAGGGGGAAGGGAAACAGCAGACTCAGCAGTGGCGCTGCTGGAGAGTGTCGTTGAGGTAAGCCGCTGCATTGATCTTTAGGGTTTAGGGTTTAGGGTTTAGGGTTTAGGGTTTAGGGTTTAGGGTTTAGGGTTTAGGGTTTAGGGTTTAGGGTTTAGGGTTTAGGGTTTAGGGTTTTAGGGTTTAGGGTTTAGGGTTTAGGGTTTAGGGTTTAGCGCGTATGGGGTTTGGAATTTGGGGTTTAGGGCCCTGGCAGCCAAATGCCGCATTACACTAGGGTTTGGGATTTGGGGCTCGGAACTGAAAAGTTTACAGGGCTCAGGGTTTAGGGTTTAGGGTTTAGGGTTTAGGGTTTAGGGTTTAGGGTTTAGGGTTTAGGGTTTGGGGCTTACGGTTGCGGGTTTAGGAGTTGGGTTAAGGGCTTGGGGTTTAGGGTTTAGAGTTTAGGGTTCAGGGTTTGGGGCTTAAGGTTGCGGGTTCAGGAGTTGGGCTAAGGGTTTAGGGTTTAGGGTTTAGGGTTTAGGGTTTAGGGTTTAGGGTTTAGGTGTGTCTCAGTGCGACAAGCGTCTGGCGACGCTGATGGGGGTGGAGGTGGACCTTGCTGCTGACGAGCTGCTGCAGCTGCGCTCAGTTGCTGCTGCACTGCAGCGGCAGCTAATAACGGAGAAGCAGCAGCTAGCAGCAGCAATTGACAGAAGAAAGGAATTCGAAGCTTTGCTGCAGCGCGAGCGGATCCGGCTGGAAAAGCTGCAGGAGGCGAGGAGATCGGTAAGCTGCTGCTGCTGCTGCTGCTGCTGCTGCTGCTGCTGCTGCTGCTGTTGCTGTGGCCCAAGTTGCTGCTGCTGCTGCTGCTGCTGTGCTTCATGTTGCTGCTGCTGCTGCTGCTACTGCTGCTGTGCTTCATGTTGCTGCTGCTGCTGCTGCTGCTGCTGCAGTGCTTCATGTTGCTGCTGCTGCTGCTGCTGCTGCTGCTGTGCTTCATGTTGCTGCTGCTGCTGCTGCTGGTGGAGCCCAAGTTGCTGCTGTTGCTACTGCTGCGGTGGTCAAAGCTACCGTTGCTGCTCTCGTCGCTGCTGCTGCTGCTGCTGCTGCGGCGGAGCCGGCACTGCTGCTGCTGCTGCTGCTGCATCTGCATCTGCTGCTGGTGCTTCTGCTGCTGCTGCGGCTTCTGCCTGCGGCACGAGCTCTGAGCCCGCGCAGTGCCCGTTCTCTCCGGGATGCGCCAAACGCTAAACCCTTAACCCTAAACCCTCGCTGCTGCTGCTTCAGCTCGAAATGGAACGCATTGGGGCCCACAGAGACATTCAACATTATCAAGAAGAGCTGCTGTTTTTGAAGCAGCAAGTAGCAGCAGCAGAAGCAGACCTGCGCTCCCTTGCAGACGCAGCAGACGCCACGCGCATGCAGCAGCAGCAGCAGCAGCAGCAGCTCGAAGCACTCGACTCCGAAAGAAGGTGCGTCCTGCTGCTGCTGCTGCCGCTGCTGTGCACGCTGCTGCTGCTGCTGCTGCCGCTGCTGTGCACGCTGCTGCTGCTGCTGCTGCTGAGGCTGAAGGCTATAATATGCAAGTTTCAGACTGCTCCAGTAGCGCATGGGGCAGCAGCAGCAGCAGCAGCAGCAGCAGCAGCAGCAGCAGCAGCGAGTGGTTTCGTGCCTCTTTCAGGATAGCAGTGGAGACACTTAAATCTGAGAAAGATCTTCTCGCCAAGGAGGAGAGAGAAATCGAGGAAATGAAAGTACTTTTGCTGCTGCTGTTGCTGCTGCTGCTGCTGCTGCTGCTGCTGCTGCTGCTGCTGCTGCTGCTGCTGCTGCTGCTGTGACTGTCGCGCTGCTGCAGCAGATGCTGCGGCAGCATGTGGTGCTGCTGCTGCTGCGGCTGTTGCTGCTGTTATTGGAGCAGCAGCAGCAGCTGCTGCTGCTGCCTACGTAAAGGCTTCAAGGAAGCAGGCTGCTAGCTGCGTTTTTGTGCTTGAGGTCAAGGGCTAAGGAGCTAAAATTTAGGGTTTAGGGTTTAGGGTTTAGGGTTTCAAATACAAGTTATAGGGTTTAGGGTTTAGGGTTTTCGCGTTGAGTCTTCTTGCGAGTGCTGCAGCTGCTGCTGCAGCGCCTACGGCGCGAGAAGACAGATGGGCAGTCGCAGCACGCAGTGCTGCAGGAGAAGCTTCGGCAGGTTGGCTAGGGTTTAGGGTTTAGGGTTTAGGGTTTAGGGTTTAGGGTTTGGGGTTTGGGGTTTACGGATCTGGGGCTAGACAGTGCTGGGAGTTGTGCGCGCCGCCAAAGCGTTTCGGCTGCGGGTTTGTGCGTGCGATGCCAGGTCATTAGGATTTAGGGTTTAGGGTTTAGGGTTTAGGGTTTAGGGTTTAGGGTTTAGGGTTTGAGCGCAGACCGAGCACGACGTGGTGCTGCAGCGCGCAGCTCTGGACTCGGCGCACACGGAAGCAATTTCGACGCTGCAGCAAAGAGTGCAGCAGCAGCAGCAGAAGCAAAAGCTGCTTTCAGAGTTGAATCAGCACACCCAGGTTTGCTGCTGCTGCTGCTGCTGCTGCTGCTGCAGTTGTTGCTGCGCTGCTGCAGTTGCTGCTGCTGAACCCAGTGGCGCTGCCGTAGCAGCAGAGTGTGCGCTTTACGCTCAGGGCTAAGAGTCTGGGTTTTAGGGTTTAGGGTTTAGGGTTTAGGGTTTAGGGTTTAGGGTTTAGGGTTTAGGGTTTGTTGTACTCTCAGGAGACATGGGCAGCGCAGCGCATGCGCGCTTTAGAGGGGCCCCACGGGCCTGGGGGCCCCCGTGGGCTGACGTCTGCTGCTGCTGTTGCTTCTGCTCCTGCTGTTGTTGTTGCTGCTGCTGCTGCTGGCTGGATTGCTGCTGCTGATGCGGACGGTGCTTTCTATTTTGCCCGAGCTGCAGATCGGGCTGCTGCTGCTGCTGCTGCTGCTGCTTGAGCTGCTGCTGCTGATGCGGATGGCGCTTTTCCATTGTGCCGCTGCTGCTGCTGCTGCTGCTGCTGCTGCTGCTGCTGCAGGACACGGCCCCGCCCCCTGCAAACTGGAGAACGTTCAAGACCCCCACTGCTGCTGACTTGCTGCTGCCCCGCGGCGGAGCAGCAGCAGCAGCAGCAACACTTGGAATTACAGATTTTGCTGCTGGTGCTGCTGCTGCTGCTGACGACAGCAGAGACCTCAGGAGACACTTGGAAGGCCTTTCCATCGACAGCGTCAAGAGCGATACGGCCTTCGTATGCTTTGCTGCTGCTGCTGCTGCTGCTGCTGCTGCTACTGCTGCTGCTGCTGCTGCTGCTGCTGCTGCTGCTGCTGCTGCTGCTGCTGCT